AAGCCTGACCTTAAAAACCTCTAAGGAAGGAGATTCTACCACCTCCCTAGGTAACGCATTCCAGTGTTTCACCACCCTCTTAGTGAAAAAGTTTTTCCTAATATCCAATCTAAACCTCCCCCACTGCAACTTGAGACCATTACTCCTCGTTCTGTCATCTGCTACCATTGAGAACAGTCTAGAGCCATCCTCTTTGGAACCCCCTTTCAGGTAGTTGAAAGCAGCTATCAAATCCCCCCTCATTCTTCTCTTCTGCAAACTAAACAATCCCAGCTCCCTCAGCCTCTCCTCATAAGTCATGTGTTCTAGACCCCTAATCATTTTTGTTGCCCTTCGCTGGACCCTCTCCAATTTATCCACATCCTTCTTGTAGTGTGGGGCCCAAAACTGGACACAGTACTCCAGATGAGGCCTCACCAATGTCGAATAGAAGGGAACGATCACATCCCTCGATCTGCTCGCTATGCCCCTACTTATACTTCCCAAAATGCCATTGGCCTTCTTGGCAACAAGGGCACACTGCTGACTCATATCCAGCTTCTCGTCCACTGTCACCCCTAGGTCCTTTTCCGCAGAACTGCTGCCTAGCCATTCGGTCCCTAGTCTGTAGCGGTGCATTGGATTCTTCCATCCTAAGTGCAGGACCCTGCACTTATCCTTATTGAACCTCATCAGATTTCTTTTGGCCCAATCCTCCAATTTGTCTAGGTCCTTCTGTATCCTATCCCTCCCCTCCAGCGTATCTACCACTCCTCCCAGTTTAGTATCATCCGCAAATTTGCTGAGAGTGCAATCTACACCATCCTCCAGATCATTTATGAAGATATTGAACAAAACCGGCCCCAGGACTGACCCTTGGGGCACTCCACTTGATACCGGCTGCCAACTAGACATGGAGCCATTGATCACTACCCGTTGAGCCCGACAATCTAGCCAGCTTTCTACCCACCTTATAGTGCATTCATCCAGCCCATACTTCCTTAACTTGCTGACAAGAATACTGTGGGAGACTGTGTCAAAAGCTTTGCTAAAGTCAAGAAACAATACATCCACTGCTTTCCCTTCATCCACAGAACCAGTAATCTCATCATAAAAGGCGATTAGATTAGTCAGGCATGACCTTCCCTTGGTGAATCCATGCTGGCTGTTCCTGATCACTTTCCTCTCATGCAAGTGCTTCAGGATTGATTCTTTGAGGACCTGCTCCATGATTTTTCCAGGGACTGAGGTGAGGCTGACTGGCCTGTAGTTCCCAGGATCCTCCTTCTTCCCTTTTTTAAAGATTGGCACTACATTAGCCTTTTTCCAGTCATCCGGGACTTCCCCGGTTCGCCACGAGTTTTCAAAGATAATGGCCAATGGCTCTCATGCATCAGTCTGCTCTGCTTTGGATCATTATCAAGCAGAACCAGTCATCGGCATGGATGTATGTCTTCTGGAATGGTGGTTGAAGCATGAAGGGACATATAAATATTTAGCACATCGGGCATGTAAATATCTTGCAATGCCGGCTACCTCAGTGCCATGCGAACACCTGTTCTCACTTTCAGGTGACATTGTAAACAATACGTGGGTAGCATTATCTCCTGCAAATTGTAACCAAATCTGTTTGTCTAAGCAATTGGCTGAAGTAGGACTGAATGGACTTGTAAGTTCTAAAGTTTTACATTCAGAAATAAAACAATGCAGTTATTGTTTGTACATAATTCTACATCTGTAAATTCAGCTTTCATGATCAAGAGATTGCACTACAGTACTTGTATTAGGTGAACTGAAATATACTATTTCTTTTGTTTTTTACAGTGTATATATTTGTAATAAAAAATATAAAGTGAGCACTGTACACATTGTATTCTGTGTTGTAACTGAAATCAACATATGAAAATGTAGAAAACATCCAAAAATATGTAAACAAATGGTATTCTATTATCGTTTAATCGCGCAGTTAATTTTTTTAATCGCTTGACAGTCCTACATATAATCAAAGGTAGGGATTCCTTATGTCTCCTAGCCACCTAAGACCCAGATATATTACAGAAGCCCAAAACGACTATACCATTAGATTACCACCACTGCATGCTCTCTACAGCTTTTAAACCTTACCACTCAATAATCTGAGGGTAAGATGTACTCTTCTATTTGCTGAACCTTGCTGCACATAAGAAACAGTAACTGGTTTCCACTTCATATGCAAGATATGACTCATCTCAAAGGGAAACAAAAATACCCACTCATTAAATAAAAACACACAAACACAAATATTTCCAGCATGAGTATTAAAGACAGGCAACTACAAATTGACTTTAATCTTTTGTAAATAAAAAACCCCACCCCAATATAAACTTCAGGGCAATCACTTTATGTAAGAAACCAAATCAAAGAGCATTAGGAAGGTAAAGGTCACCTTAGTATCACAGTTATGTATTTGGGTACCAAATCCACAGTCTCCTTATCAGAATCTCTGGTATTTTTGGTCCATTCACCCTTCCAGAATAAAGTAACGTATGTTCCTAGCTCAAATATTTTCATTATGCTTTTAACATTCAAATGCTTTCAGACATCAAAGAGGAACAAGACTATAATCCAGATATAGCCTAAATTTTCTCAGCCCTGCAAAAATTGAGCTAGAGAAAAACAGTGTATTTAAATGCAAGGATTAGTAAATGTTTTCTTTTTTTCAGCCAGTATTCCTGCCTGCACTTGAAAGCAACTCTGTTTAATTGCTGAATGGGTTAAAGTAAAATTTAACCACACGCAAGACAGACTGATGTTAGGAGGGTGAGGGGGAGAGAACCTGAGTCAGGGACCTAATAGTAGACAATTTTGAAAATTATAGTGTGTATCAATAATGGCGAGAACACTGAGATTCAAAAGGAATAATTTGTAATAACAGAAAAATGTAGCAACTGTCAGCAACAAAGCTATTAGTACCAGGGGTTTTGCCTTTGCCATATCGAAGTCTGGAGGTAGTGACATGACAAACAGACACAGCAAATAGAATGTGATGAAAATCTACACTGGAAGCGAGCCTCTTCTCTCAGAAAACATTGCTTTGGAGCCCAGAAATATATATTTCCAGCATGAAACTCATTGTCCTAATTCCCAGTAATATAGACTGGGAAGCAATGACAATTGCTAATTGGTTTTTCTATAGTTGTAGATACCTAAAGGATACCCAGTTATATGTGTATGTCATTGAATAAAAACACTACCTGAATGAGAAACCAGGGGCCCCTAAATAAACATGCATCAATTTTCATTCCTCTTGTGCCAATTTACATGCCATTGATAATTAAAATAGGTGTTCTCAATCCATATGTCCTTTAACTTGCTCATCATTGCATCTTCCACCGTAGGTTACAATAATATTAAAAAGTGGTCCATTGCTAGCTCAGTGTCAACTTCTAGAGGAACACGCTATCTCATGAAGCACCCAAGTTGAGAAGGTTCGCACAGGAACTGAAAATACCACAGACAGGAGATGTACAAAGTACTACATACCGGAGACATACAAAGCACCACAGAAGGAAGACGTACAAAGAATGGTGGTATCTACATATAGGAGGAGGGCCTGCTCAGCGTTTGCTTATGTGCACTAGGCCACAAGGCCATTCTTCAGTGGTTCTTTCCCTAAAAGAAGAAACTGCAAGCCCCAGGGTTTTCTAACATGCTGAGCCCTGATCTGTACTGACTAGGAAACAGAGCTAAACCCTATTAGCATGTTTTCAGAAAAACTGATTTTGTTATGGTGGTAGCTTTCATCCTAGGGGAAATGGGGAATATGGAGTTTAACTATGGACATAGCAGAACAGGGGTGATAAAGATTATGCCTTACAAAGGTGGAATAGTGGGCAATTAGGGAGGTTTGAGTAAAACCACAGGAAACCAGTCTGTGATTTACAAAACAAAGAAAATTAATTCTGTAGATAAACAAACAGAGGGGAAGGAAACAAGGGCAATATGCACTGTGAGGTGGCCCTACAGGGACCCAAGAAGGTGAGGAGATGTCATCTTTGTAGGTCTGGTCAGTGATACAAATTTGGGCTGGAGTTTCCCAGATTAACCATACCTCACCCCCACGCCCTCCCCCATACCTCACCCGCATGAACTAATGGGAAAACATGTGGAAGATGTAGCAACGAGCACTCAGCTGTACACTCAAAGTAACCTACCATGTGGGTTTTTCTACAGGACAAGAGCAGCTAGCATGGAAGACTCTTTCTGCTCCAACTGACAAAAAATCCAAGACACATTTATAACGGGAACCCTGACACAACCTTACCTATACCATCCTGATTGCAATGCTATAATCTGATATGCGTGTGAACTAACTCCCATTGTCTCAATGGTATTTATCTTACTTTAACTCCTGTTACAAAAGGGTTGAGTCATATAGCAGAGCTAGCCAAGTAACAAAACTGCAAGGCTTGCTAAAACTCCAACTCAAGGATAAAAAGGCTCTGTCCTAAAACAGGTTACGAGAGCGACACTCCACAGGAGCATTGTTAGCCAGACTTCAGATCCTCTAGAGAATGGTATTTTCTTCTATGCTGTAGAGAATATTACAGTCCTGCTAAGAGAGGGCAAAAAAATAAAATAAAAGGAAAGCACTGCCCTTCAGTTCTCGGTAACATGTATTAACCAGTGCCAGAGAAACCAGATAACTTAGCAACCTCATGTAGGGACAATGACCCAATCAGATTTCAGTGTCAAGAGAAGAGGAACAGTATTTACTCTGCATACAGATTAGTTGCAAAACTGGGTCACTTCTCGCCTTTTTTTTTTTCCTTTTTTTTGGCGGGGAGGTGTGGAGGGGCAGAGAAGGGCTTCTTTTTCAAATCTTTTAGAGTCTTTGCCTGGACTTTAAACCCACCTGGTGCAGGGTGGAAATCCACAGCTGTCTGAGCTGATGAAATCACACCTGCATGTGTAATGTTAAAGCATGTTGTTACATTGACTGGGCTTTGTATTTCTTAGAACTCAGCTCATCAGCTACTTACCGGTTCTTCTCTAGTTCATTGTGTGTAGATCTGGAAGACAAACAAAAATTTGGATTAGCTACCTTCAGCCTCACAGCACAGTAATCCAATTGCTGCAAACCATAAACATTTCCAAGAATACAACTCAGCATATATTCAACCATTTGTATATATTAAAATATTCAGTCATAACTCTCCACTCTCTCTTGCTGTGAGAGACATTTCCCACGCTAGGTCTGTATTTACTGGCTGTTCGCAGATGCATTACTGTAAATTTACATCAGATATTTAAAAACGTCCAAAACTGAGAATCAAGACAATGGTGAGAGCAGAGGACAGGGAGTCAGGAGTCCTGGATTCAATTCCTGGCTTTGCCACTGACTCCATGTGTGATCACAGTTGAGTCACTTAACCTCTCTGTACTTCAGTTTGCCCATCTGTCAAATGGGAATATTGATACAACCTACCACACAGGGCTATTATAAGGCTTAATTCATGTGCCTAAAATATTTTGAGATCTTCATATGGAAGTTGCTCTGAAAAGAAACATTAGACAAGCCATCCACAGGGTCACTAACAAGATCTATCCCACTTGCTGCCAGAGCCCAAAATTTGCCCAGCATTTGGGTATGTGAAGGTGGGATGTACATACAGGGACAGGGGTAGAGGAATGCTTCCTCCACCATGCTTGCAAGCATTACAGGGTTAAGGCAGTGCCCGCGGAATTCAAATATGGTTCCCCAGCTCACCTCCAGCACCTCTCACAACTGGGGATACCAGCACCCTCACAACACTCACAGTAGAGCATCTGTACCCTAAAAAGGTACTTAGCCTCATATTTACATCACTAGAAATATCTGAAAACATGTGTTCTTGCCTTTATACCTGTATACCATCAAGCACACCACTGCTATTCAAACAATAACTCTCAGCTGGAAAATTAAAGTGACTAGAAACAAAAATCAGAAATCGACTAGTCTATTTTCACTGTCTGTGTGCACAATGACAACGTGAATAGACAAACTTAGGTGATGTCTACACTAGAGACCTTACAGAGGCACAGCTGTACCGATGCCGCTGCGCTGCTGTGAGATCTCTCGTGTAGCTGTAGAGGTCTCCTGTTGATATAATTAAACCATCCCCAGCAAGCAGCAATAATTAGGTCAGTGGGAGAACCTCTCCTGCTGACATAGCGCTGTACAAACCACCACTTATGCTGGTGAAACTTATGTTGCTCATGGGGGTGTTTTTTTCATGGCCTTACATATTAGTGTCTTTTCATCAGCATTTATGATCAGTGTTATTAACAGCCCAGGTAATTTTATTTTAAAATATACAAATTTTAATCTAACATGTCCCTTTAATATAAGGTCATCTTAAAATAGGAGTAAATGAGCCAAGAGCTTAATAAAAAGGATCTATTTTCTGTAATTTGGCATCACATTTCTTCCGGAGCTCTGAGAAGATTATCCTCTATCCCCCATCTGGAGAATCCTGCAGAGAATTCTCCAGTTAGGGAACTGGATGAAGGTTCACAGCTCCAAGGGAAACCCTCTAGTAATTAAGTGCTTCCCAAAAAAGGAGGGGGAAAATGTGCTGAACAGGTGTTAGGAGTTCAATAACGACCACAACTAAACCTGTAGACATTTGAGAAATAAAACAATTTTACAGAAACAAGCCCTGAAGATTAAAGCTTAACTAGCCACGGTTCAGGGCCTATAAATAGACGGACAAAATCTTTATGGCACGTCAGTGGAATGTATCTGATTTGGTATTGGGCACTGGGTCTCTCAGGCTGTATCTGCATTTCAATCTGGAGGCGTAAATTCCAGCTTGAGGAGATACACCTGCACTAACCTGATGAGCACATACCCACTTACACTGGTGCAGCTACACTCTATTTTTAGTGGGCTCGCTTGTTCAATGCTAGCATGGGTATGTCTTCTCAAGCTGGGAATTACACCACCAGCCATAGGCGCCAACTCCATGGGTGCTCCAGGGCTGGCCACTCATAGAGAAAAAATCAGCAGGTGCTTAGCACCCACCGGCAGCCAGCTCCCCTCCCGCCCCCCACCAGCGGCCCCGGATTGCCCCCCTCCCTCTACCTCCCAGCGCCTCCTGCATGCCTCGGAACAGCTGTTCCGCAGCGTGCAGGAGGCACTGAGAGGGAGGGAGAGGAGCAGGGACAGGAACTCTTGGGGGAGGGGGCGAAAAGAGGCGGGGAAGAGGCAGGGTGGGGTGGAGCGGGGCGAGGCCTCGGGAGAAGGGGTGCAGTGGGGGTGGGAAGAGGCAGGGGTGGGTGCTTAGGGGAAGGAGTGGAGTGAGGACGGGGTGGGTGGCAGAGTGGGGGCTGAGCACCTCCGGGGAAAAATTAGAAGCCAGCGCCTGTGCCACCAGCTCAAAGTGCAGACATACTTTTAAAGGCACAGTATACTACACAGATGCTAAAGCTAGACAAGCTCCCAAAGTAACTGTTTTAATTTCCCATCATGCAAATCTCTAAAAAAAGGGGTCACGCTCAAAGTGAAAAAAAAAGAAGCAACTTTTTATTCTCCTGGTTACATGAGCAACTACTGCTGGATCTTGAGTGTGCCTTTTTAATTTTGTTTTTACATATATCTTCTGACAGCTGATAAACCTAAACGCTGAGGATCAAGTTTCAAAATGTGGCCTCAGCTTGGCCATGTGTGACTGTAGATACGCAAGTCACCTGCATATGTATGATTAGTGCAAGTCTAAGTGCAGCTGCCCATACTTCTTAAACTTCTGCCTTGGAGAGGGTCTCTGTGCCAGCCCAATGTAGGCTGGCCTAGAGAGTAGCACTATTTAGGACAGACGAGGAGCTGACAGATTCATAATTACATGGACACAGTGGCCCTAGCAGCTTCTGTAACTGACACGGAGGGCATAAATCTGCCAATTACTTAATAGAATAGAGCAGCTGCACTGCAACCCTGTGCCCTGGCCCTAGGTAAGGGGGCTCTCGCACCTTTTGAGTCCCCTGTACTTTACCTACAGAAAGCCTGATTACTTGTTGCGTGAGTGCGAGTGAGGTGGCGTGCACCCCTTTTTTATGCAAGTGACAATTTACACCAGCAAATCCCATTTGCTCATGCAACTGGATTATAAATTCTATCGTTTACACATCAAATGACAGTGCTCAGTAACTATGAACCTCTGAACCTCCCAAAGACTGGGTCAAGGCCCCTTTAAAATCTGACCCCAAATTCTTTGGAATGTGTTATTAGTTTTATTTACTTTATGTTTCTGTAGGAGACTTTGCACTCTTCCTGGCTATTCCATTAACAGTTATAAAGCCAAAAATATGCAATGAATCGAATTCCTATATTATATTGAGCCAATTATCAAGGCCAGCACAGAAAGAACAAAGTTTGGCTCACTGCTGTGAACAAAATTAAAACAGCAGGTTCCTCCTATTCCTCTCACACAGGAGACTCTTTATTACCTATCTTCTTTCCAATGAACACCACAATTCTGGGGGGGGTCACAGTCTTTTCATCAAGTCAGGAAATTTATGCTGTGACTTTTAACCATATTGCCTGCAAAAACTTTCCCAGCACAGCTGAATTTGAACAAAAGAAGCTCAGCAAACATAAATGGATCCTGCCAAGTTGTTACCTGTGCTATCAGCACCAGCTATGTTTAAGGAAACTACAAACATTTGTCAAAAGTCTGATATCCTCGTTATCATTTAGACTTACTTGAATTTTTATATTTACTCAGCCTGGGCAATGAAAATAGAAAAGGCAGTTTCTCTTCTCCTCTTTTCTGTTTATAGCCAGTTTCACTTTCTGCATCTGGCATGATTTTTCTATCTTTGGGTTGCAAACATTACAAAGATTCATTTGGATTTAAATAAGACACCGTTGTCATTGAAATGGAAAAAAATAACATTTATGACCATGTCTGTTAATATTAAATTTTATGACAACTTTAAAAAAAATTAACCACAAAAACCAACCACAAAATATTGGGTCTAAACTGGTTTCAGAGTAACAGCCGTGTTAGTCTGTATTCACAAAAAGAAAAGGAGTACTTGTGGCACCTTAGAGACCAAATAAATTGGTTAGTCTCTAAGGTGCCACAAGTACTACATTTCTTTTTGGGTCTAAACAGACACTTGAGTTTTACTTAAACAAAGAATCTTCATTTCTCTTCTGATTAATATCAACCAGAATCTGGACATAAACCAGGCTATCGATTGCTTTTTACTTTGACGGTTAAATATTCAGAATTATAGAACACCATCAACTTTCTGATCCAACAACAAGAGATACCATCCACTTGAAAATCTGAACATTTTGTTACTGGTTGCAAGTAATCCTAAAGTTACACCAATGAGATTAGACATATTTCTCTTGATTTTTTGTTTTATTTTGTATATTTGGCAGTGTTTGTATACAGTCAGTTTCACTGTTGATGGTCTGTTGTACTTTGTGCCTCCTGCATTAGGACATCACTCTCATGCACTGATCTGAGGGAGCTCACATACATACTGCCACCCAGGCTATGCCAGAGGGTGTTTACCAGTAGCTGAGCAAAGCTGAAACTGAAGAGGCAGGGCCCGAGCATGTTTGCTATTGTTTTATCTCAGCCTGTCCTATACCCCCTGCTCAAAAACGCCTTTTAAGCATCAGCAGGTGAGGAGGAAAAACCCATTAAAATTTAAAAATCCAGGACATCCTATTCAAAGTGGGCTCAATCAAAAAGGTGATTTGTTTTATACATTAATCATTTATTGAAAAAAAAATTGGCAGTGTTCCTTTAAATCTAGTAAAGTGTCACATAAATGGAAGGACTGTTGTGATAATTGGACTTACAAATTTACTCTAATTATGAGCTCAACTCTAAAAAGTATGTGAAAGTTCATAAAATGTCAAAATAACCTGTAACAACAAATGTTAATGGCAAAAGGTACAAAAGGGAGACAGGATAACTGAATTAGTCTAAACAAAAAGGCCACATTGATATGATTCAAGGACTGTGTCGTAAGCTTGTTAAAAACAGGAGGCATGGAGCTGAAAGTTAAT